ATGACTCGATGTATAGAACTCCTTGGTATGGTCGTATTACAAAAAGTCAAAAGTCAACCAATTCCTCAAATGCTTGCAAAACCAAATCCAGCCAAGCAATTTTCAAGTGCTCCTTATTTCAAGAATAATTCCCATGGATAAATCCAAAACAAGAACATTACACAAAGTTCTACATAATTCACCTATCCTGACCAAACAGACAACAATGAATAATAAGAAGAAATACATCACCGATCCAACAGGTCCATATCGACCATTCGCTGTGTCAATCCAACGATCCACACACAAAAAAACATTACCCTTAAAGGTTTCTTTTCAAGCTTCTTTACGCGTGATCCTGTTGATTAGAAAGAAAAAACCAGAGGCAGATACATTAATTCATTATGTTTTGAAAGGAAGAATATTGACCTTTTTATATCGAATTTTCACCTGAAGCAGTAGATTCCAAGAGCCTCAGTGATCTCATGGATGACCGATGTTGCAAAGTGCAAGTATAATGACACTGTTTTGCATCAAAACAATTGGTTTAGAACGGGCAAAATAACTAAATAGTGAAAAAAGAAAAATCAACAGCTAAATAAGAGGCTTTTCTCTTTAGGAGCAAACCTGTGAATATGCAGTAGCCAAGAAGAACCCATAATTCGTCGACTAGAGGAACCCTGGGATATGAAGTTTCTCCGGTGTTAAAGACAAAAAAAACCAATGAAGTTTTCGAGGAAAATGTAAAGAGAGAAAAAACATACCCAGCATTCAATCTCGCGGTTAGCGCATTTGCGAGCGCAAAGGGAAGATAGAGTAGCGACTGCATTTTGAGTAAAAAGATTTCATAAGGCTACAATTTCAAAACCACTAAGATGGAGAAATTGGCAAGAGAAAAGTTATCGGATTTACCATGCACATGTTTGTTTTTAGTCCTTTAGGCTCATCACACAAGTGAGCAAGAATCATTCTTCCCTGCGAAAAAGAAAACATAGAAACTTTGTTCTATTACAACTTTTTTCGGAGTAATCGTGCTATTGATCTAACTTAAGATTTTTGAATCAAGACATACCACTAGAAAACCAAATGCAAGTCCAGTTCCGAGTACAACTAAGTGAGGGTATGTTGCTATGAGATTGATTGGAGACAAGTAATCCCTGTAAAAAAGAGGATCCAAATAATCTTTAACGATGAAGGAGAGAGTAAGATAACGTGGTCTTTTCAAAAGAGAATAAAACAAGACTTTACCATATCAAAACTCCTCCAAGTAGGACAACAAAGGGATACAGCTGAAAACAAGATTTGAACAGAACATTAATTTTGCAGCATAGTTGACTATTTGTGAATCAATTAGTAGTTAGGAGATTACCATAGCTAGTGCTAACACCATGCTCCCTTTTCTTGATTGAACGACTTTGTAGACATTTGACACACTGCAAAATACAACGGTGTACGAACCCGCTTAGAAAACACAAACTTTACAACTTGAAAAGACTCTTAGTTGATCACTCAAAAATAAACACATTAGGTTGTCTAAGTTTGATAGACTCACTTGAATGCAATGGTTGGTATAACAGCAAAAGCGATCATCATGTATAGCACTGCTCTGGAAGTTTGGATCTCTAAAACAGAGAACAATGAATAGCCCAAAAAACAAACTTTAAAAATTCAATCAAGAAAGTAACGCTGCAAGGAACATTGGAGGAAAAGGATGCCGGAGATCTTTTTACCATTCACAAATGGCACCCAACTAAACAATGGTATTGACTGCCCCAACTGCTGAGCCC